CCCGGGGAGCTTTCACAGCCTAATCGCTGAGGAACACAACTTTTTTATTCCAGTAAAATACGTATTTTCTGCCAAGTAAAATGATTGGCGAGCAGGTCAAACATTACCTGCCCGTAAACTTTCATTTTGCCACTCGGGTTATCATGAATCTTCTAGAATAAACTTCAGGTGCTAAAATCTGTGCAAGCTGGGGCTGGTTTATACGGCAAACCAAAAATCCTGCAGATTTACACTGGCTGAAGGAGATGTCACAGTTCAGCAACAGTCCCAGCTGTTGGGGTACAGCTGGACAAGATCCCTTGTACACAAGATGTTGCTGAGCTGAGCAGCTGCCGTTAAGAGTATCCTTCCAAGGAGAAGGTTTAAAAACAGGCCCCACAAAGCTCCAAAGATGTACCACCAGTTCAGACCAGTAGAAGCCACAGCAGAGAGGACTGGAAGGCGCACAGCCAGGCCACCCTGTCTCTGTTGCTATCTCACAGACAGGGCTTGAGGGCAGCCGAGGAGCGTGGAGAAGCACAGAGAAAGAAAGCAGAACTTCCCTGCTTGGCAGGTGCCGGACCAATGTGTTTATACTTTGGACCCCACCAATGCACTGCTGCTTTTCAATGTACAAGCTGTGCCAGTGCCCAGGCTCTCGCTCTGCAGGGTGATCGGCCTCCGGCCACGCTTGCTGCCGGACAGACATCTTCCCTTTACATCCCATCCCTGCATGCACCAGCCACGAGGTGACCACAGCCTCCTCACTCGATGGCAATGCTGCAGTAGAAGGAGGAATGAACACCTTCCCCCTGCCACGGCACCCCGAGTTGGGGCTGCTCAGGAACCAGGCAGAGGATGGGCAACAAAGACCAGCCCAAAGCAGCTGTGAGCATCTCGGGGTGCTTGGTGGTCATCAAGAAAGTCGGGAGGTCCCAGAGCCTGGGCTCTGCATCACAAGCCTGTTCCTCCTTCTGCTCGTATTTAGCACTATCACTTCTGTCTTTCTTTTAACTGGTGGTCTCAGAAGAGGGGTCAGCACCCGAACAGGCTGCAGAGCAGACAGGGACAAGGGAAGAGCTCGTAGTGCTCCTGCACAGGCTGCGCTGTGCCTGCAGGGCTGCAGCATCCACTGAAGGTGAAAACTAAACCCCCTCTAAGTGTTAAATGAAGTGAGAAGTTCCCTGCTCTGTATGGACCAGGAGCTGAGGTGGTGGTAGGGATATTCCCACAAACAGTGCTTTGCCCATGGATCCTTTATTCAGTGCCAGAGGACACCCAGCCTCCCAAGGATGAAGTTTTATTGCTCTGCTCAACAGAGGGGAGAAAAAACACAACCACCTGGAAACAGCCCACTAAAACAGAGCCCTACAAGAACATGCATCAGAGAGGCTTTTCCCTCCTCATGTCCTGGGCTGAAAAACACTGACAGCATCTTTAATCAGATGCCAGACGGAGGCAAATCCGAAGCAGCAAGGCTCCCGCTCGCCTGCGGGCTCGCCGAGGAGGAGGCCAGGCTGCCTGGCACCGCCTCAGCTGGTGTGCAATACAACAATGTAAAGCCTCCGACCGACCCACCGCCAGCATCTAATCCCCGAGCAGGAGCCAGCGCTGCAGCAGGAAGCCGAGAGATCGTGTTTCACTCTGGAATTCTTCAGGCAGTTCCTTCCTCCCCTCCATCCTCCTCCTCTGGCACCGCATGGCCACCGGGAGAAGGGGACCACGGCCGAGTATACCACAGCAGAGGAGATTCCCAAGAAGGTGCTGCCGCAGCTCCGATTACTACCGGTAAATAAACTCCAAGACAGCCTGGAGGGGCAAGATCTTGGGCTTCCCCTCTCTCCGCAGGGATTTCAGTTCAGCTGGAGCCAAAAGGACTTTAGTTGAAAGCGCTGTGGTTATCGCTTGGAGATGGACTTGGTTTTAAGGCACCTAAGGATGCTCAGCCGGATCACCAGGCCGCTTGAGCGGCTTCCTAAGGCGGCAACTGGATCAAAGAGTCTAACGGTAGAGTCTGGCCAAGATGAGCTCAGAGGGGAGTTGCTAAAACTAGAGGTGGTGTGTAGGACAGGTAGGTGTGGAAAGGGAAATAGAGAGAGGCAATAGAGCAATGCAACACTGTGGATCCATCGTTTTATTGTGGTAAGTGCTGGGCAGAGAAGACGCAAATCCAAGGCCAGAAGCACTTTGAGAAAGCGCTTGCCAAGGGGATGGACAAATATACCAGTGCAAAGGGCTGCAGCACAACCCTACCTTAAGGGTACAGCAGGCAGCAGCCTCTCCAAAGTCCCTAGACACTCGGGGCCTGTTCCTTTCAGCAGATATTTCCCTGTTTCTGCCAGAGGCATTTACACCACGGAGTAGCACTGTCACCCCCTTGCAGGGGCCTGCTCTGCCTGGGTGGGTTCTCAAGATGTCTGCTCCCACGCAGGCACGGGGCTGGCACCCAGCTGCCCGCCAAAAAGCCGTCCCCTCGGCATTTTGGCAGGGACAACATCTGGTTTTGGCTCCGGAGCCTGCAAGCCAGAAAGGTGCTCTGGGCGGATTAGGCCAAGCCATAGTTCACGACGTCTGCTGCAAGACACGGTACAGATTTTAGCACTCGAGCCAGCAGCACAGAGAGAAGCTGCTGCACAGGCCTCCCGCTGCACTGCAGTCAAAAACGCAGCTCGAGTGCGAAAAAGGGACTTCAGCCCACCCGGGGAGGGGGGGAGTACGAATTCAGCGCGTGGCTTTATCTGTGAAGTATCTGAGCTGCTCCCCACGTCTTCTTCCTCCTCGTCAGGCATGCCTCTAGGACTGAGTGCTTGACAAAGATTTCAGCCTTCTGTGACCAGGAACATCCAAACCCTCCGATTTTAGGTATTAAAGTCAAACCACAGCCACCCAAAGTACTGGCTGGTTTCTGGTCTCTGGAGGAAGGGGGAGAGGTTGAACCATCCCCGTCTGTTTGGAAAGGCAGCGCAGGGCAGACTTACCCCACGCTCTGCTTCCTCGTCTCCTGAACTTCAAATAAACATATTTCATTTGCTCCAAGTTCCTGCGCGCAGAGGTGCAGAATAAAGCCATTTCATTTTGCCTGGGCATTTTTGGGGAGGACAGACAACTCCTATTACATACACATGAGCAGTCTCAAGTCTACAGAATTTGGGGCTACGTGACTCCTGCCTAAGAGAGATCTCATCAGTAGCATGTCCCCTAAAATTTAGCTTCAATTTTTTATACTTAATGCGTGAAAAAAATTGGCTTATACCAAAAAATATGATTTCAAGACAAACTCAGGATGGGCCTATGCCAAATGTTTCCATTTTCATTTGCTGCTTCCTACCTAACACTCAAGGCAAAGCTGAAATCCCTTGTGAAGAGGAAAGCAGAACAGGCAGAGACTGAAAGAATAACTTCTTGGTCTGAAGCTAAGAGGAAAAGGATCCAGGACACACCTAAGCTACTTGAAAAGAGTTCAAACTCC